TCACTCTTCAAGTGCAGTGGAAGTACATCCTGTGTTTTGAAGACTCTTTAAATTATTAGTCTAACTTAACTTCTCTTGGGAGAAGCTGCACTCAAAAGTCTGGGATTAAAAGTAAAAGCAGTCTCTTTCAAATGCTGCAATCATTCGTGTTGGAAAAGATCTCCAAGGCCACTGAGTCCCAGCTGGGCCCAATCCCCTCCTTGTCCCCAGTGTCACATCCAGTCATTCCTTGGCCACCTCCAGCTCAGAGCCTCCCTGGGCAGCATCTTCCAAGGCCTGAGCATCCTTTCCATGGGGAAATTCCTCTTGGTGTCCACCCTGAGCCTCCCCTGGCCCAGCCTGAGGCCGTTCCCTCTCCTCCTGGCCCTGTTCCCTGGGAGCAGAGCCCGACCCCAAGGCTGTCCCCTCCTGCCAGGGACTTGTGCAGAGCCAGAAATTCCCCCTGAGCCTCCTTTGCTCCAGGCTGAGCCCCTTCCCAGCTCCCTCAGGAATTCTCCAGCCCCTTCCCAGCTCCCTCAGGAATTCTCCAGCCCCTTCCCAGCTCCCTCAGGAATTCTCCAGCCCCTTCCCAGCTCCTTCAGGAATTCTCCAGCCCCTTCCCCAACTCCCTCAGGAATTCTCCAGCCCCTTCCCATCTCCCTCAGGAATTCTCCAGCCCCTTCCCAGCTCCCTCAGGAATTCTCCAGCCCCTTCCCAGCTCCCTCAGGAATTCTCCAGCCCCTTTCCCAGCTCCCTCATCCATTTCTCCTGGGATTTACTGTCAGCTTTATCCAGATGCCTCGTGCCAGTGTGGGAGCAGAGCTTTGATGCTGAACAAAAGTTCATTGAGTGTTTGGCAGTGGTGCCCATGAAGGAAAAAAGTCCATCATACATTTATGGATGAACTCTTGATTTAGGATCTCAGTGAGTTCAGGAACAGGCAAGGAGACAACGCAGGGGGCTGTGGCCATAAAGGAAATTTTCCTTCCCATGGCAGGGGTTGAAATGAGATCCTGAAGGTCCCTTCCACCCCAAACCATTCTGCAATTCCTTGTCAGGTTGTTGTAGTTATTGCTCTGGGAAGAGGCAGGGATGGAAATCTGAGCTCACCAATCTGGATTTCATGGCCACTGTGTATATTTAGCTCAGGCCTCACCAGCTTTTGCCTTTGGAGCTCGGCATCCGACACCCTGGGACCGCTTTACGTGCGGAATGTTGGAGCTGGGATGGGCAACTCCCCTCTTGGCTTCTCCTGTCAAGTGATCTTCATGCCCTGTATGTGTTGGAGACACACTGGGAGTGTTGGGAGCTATTTAAAGGGACCTGTTTATCCAGAGTTTTGGAAACCAAGCCTGAAGGGTGACAGAACAGGAAACTCAAAAGGTTGAGGGGCTTTTTCCTGCAAGGCACGGGAAACAGTCCTGAATTTGGGATGGGAAAACAGAAAGTGCTGCTTGTTCAGGGAATTTAAGGGAGCTGATACGGGTTGTTCTGATACAGGGAATGGCACATTCTTGCTTTCTGGTATAAACTCAGTGGCACTGAAGTGCATTCCACCAGGCTGGAATCGCTGGGATAATCCAGAGCATTGCCCTCTCCTGGCATCGTGCTCAGGGACAACCTCTGGGCACACAGAAAATCCTGGGTGCTTGGAACTGGCAGTGATGATAATTTGGTGAGGCGGATGTGGGCAGCCACTGGTTTACATCCTTTTTTTTTGGGTGGGTTACCAAGATGAGCTCAATGTTTTCCCTCAGGATCAAGCAGAGGTGGGAGTTCCAAAGGGCTCCCTCTGGAAACTGCTTGAGATGAGTAGAGATGCTACTAAAAGTAGTAAAAACCTTCAAAATCAAAAAAAAACCTGAAGGGAATTGGTAATGTTTGCCCTGAAATATGGCTGTGATTTTGGAATTTCTCTGAATACCCATTGCATTGCAGATTGGGGGTGTTTGGGGAGCTCTCAGGTGAGACTGGGAATAGTCAGTCCAGGGGATTCTGTATTTCTGGGAGGGGAATCTCTGAAGTTGGAGGAGAATTTGGAATGTTCTGTACTAAGGGGATGAGGAGCTGAGGTGTTAGAGACACAGAGTGTCTGATACCTGGCTCTGACATCCAAGAAAACACCGAATTTCATATAACACCCTAAAAACAACCGTTAAATAAAAAAACTTAGAGTGCAAGTCTGTAAATTAGAGAGTTTTCTCTAAGTCACTAGGTGAAAAAATTCAAGTTTAGAGTTTAAACTAGTTTAGAGAACAGAAGATGGAAGATTTAGGGTGTTGTCTCTGTCTTTTTTCTTCATATTCTTCTTCTAGAGGTTTTTGAGTAATAGTAAGTGATTAAATAATGTCATAGTGCAGCACACAGGTGTAAGGTCATTAATGCAGTAAGAAAAAATAATTTACGTGTCTATTGTTAATTGAGTGAAAATAAGTATAAAAATAAAAGAATTGTGTATTTTGAGGCCATTTTGTACCATTTGAGCCATTTTAAGCCAGGCAGTAGTGAATTGAACTTGAGCAGAAAGTCTAGGGAAGACCTGCCAATAATATATATTCATTATTCTTGATAATATAATTAATTATGCTTGATAATATATTAATAAACATGAGAAGCAAGAGTCTAATGAACTTTTAGAATATCCTTCCTGACACAGAACTAAAATGAGCAAAACTCCCTGTGAGGGAATATCCCAGAAGAACCCAGCCCTGAAAAGACCTGCAAGGCTTCTGCAACTCGGAATCTTCCTTATTCATCTAATTTATCTTGTGATAAATTATTCCTAATTTATTCCTATTCCTAATTTATTTTATGAGGAGACAGGGTGAAGTCTCTCAGATTATTTTAAGACCCAATACATAAGAAATCTTTGCAGCAACACTTTAAATTTCAGCAAATCTATTAGTGTGGGGTAAGAAGCACAAATATTTAACACTTATGCCTGTCAGTGAGAACTCTCCCTAACTTAAAGAGCATCAATTTTATAATGAGGGCACAGTACAGGAATTCTGCCCTTCAGGGGTTATTTAGAGAGCAGCCAGAGGTGCAGCTTTACCAAGGAAAAAGTTGGTTTACCCAGACCAAGAACTTGTGGTGGATTTTATCTGACAGTTCCCAGGCTGACCCAGCACCGCCCATTTGAACTGGAGCCCTAAAACTTCTCATTTTCTTCAATTCTGTCCAAAAAGAGAGGTCTCAGGGTTGTTTCTCTTAACAAATAAGGTAAAGTTTTGGTGGTTTTTGTGCAGAGAGATTGGAATCTCCTGTGTGAGAGTGGATCACAGCAGGAGCTGTGGGATGGACGCCAGGGGAGCAGCCGGTGGGGCTGCGATGTTTTGGGAAGTGATGTGGGTGTTCTCCAGTGGGAAGGGGCTGGAGAAGAGGACCCTGATGGCCCAGTTCATCCCAGGATGGCTTCACCTGCAGGCAAAGATGTGGGGAAGGGAGGTGTGGGTGTGGTGGGTGTTAGCAGGGTCCCTCTGTGGGGAAGGGGAGCAGCAGAGTCACCACACAAGAGCTGACACCGAGCGCCTCGTGCAGCTGAATCCCGCTCCAGAGATCCCTCCAGTCCTTAATTCAAGTGCTGCCTCCCTTCCCCAGCCCTTCTGAAGGGAGCAGGGCTCTTCTGGAAGGCTTTTCTCATTCCTGAGTGCTTCACTGCTTTGCTGAAGCTATGATGACACTTTTCACTGGGCTGATTCCTCATTTAGCTGAAAGCTCTGGCATTTTACTTCCCTGGAACACGAAATGTCCATCTGTGGGGAGAGGAACACAGATGAGTGTTGGTGGCTGACTGCTGAGCAGGTCCTGAGATGATATTTTCTTGATGACTTGCAGTGGTGGAGAACAAGCTGGACATTTATTTCTCAGTGTGGATTGAAATACCTGAAGTCTGTGACTGCGTTTATGTTCTCTTCTGCAAGGGGGCTATAAGGAGTAATAAATGGAATAGAATCTTTTTTTTAAACAATTCACAATTAAGAAACATTATCAACAGAATGTAAAATAATGGGTAGAAGAATTTGGAATGGGACACCCAGGTGAGAAGGTGGTTCCCTGGTAAATCTGGTGGGAGAAGCTGCACTGGAATCAGGGAAAAGCAGATAAGGGTGGGCTCGTGACCCATGAGCTGTGGCTGTCACAGGTGGCTGGGCAGGTGTGACAGGGACTGACAGGAGCCCTGTGAGCTCTTAAGCCATTCACTGAGCACCTGAAATGCTGCTTAGGGCAGGGATGTCCTGATCAGCCTGGATTAATTCAGCTTTAATGCAGTGTTTGGGAAAACCTATTAAAGTGTGTAAGGAGGGAAAAGTCGCTCACAGTTTTCATGGAACAACCCAGAGCAGCTGAGCAAGTGTGGTTGGGAAACAACAATCACAGGGTGGTTGGGACATGGGGGGAGCTCTGGAGATCCCCCAGGGCAGGGTGAGCTGCAGCAGGTGACACAGGGATGTGTCCAGAGACTCCAGGCCCCCCTGGGCAGCTGTTCCAGCCTCTTCCTCCTGCTCAGCTGCAGCTTGCTGCCTTCTGCTCTGTGGCCACTGCTGCTTGGCTCCTGGCTCTGGGCAGGGTGTGGCCCCTTCTCCTGGCCCAGCTGGAGAGATTTGTGTGGATGGATGGGATCCCCTCTGAGCCTTTCCCTTCTCCAGACTGCCCAGGCCCAGCTCCCGCAGTCTCTGCTCACCAGAGACGCTCCAGAGCCCTCAACATCTCTGTGGCCTCTGCTGGAGCCTGTCCTGCAGCTCCTGGTCCTGAGGAGCCCAGAACTGGGCACCAGATCCCAGCTGTGCCTGGGCAGAGCCAAGCAGAGGGGCAGGATCCCCTCCCTCAATCCTGATCCAGCAACAGTGCCATCTTATTCCTGTTGAAGAGGCAACACTAGGAAAAGCTGCCTGGATCACTGGAGAAGGACTGCAGCCAAATCTGCCAAGTTTTAGTTAATTCTGAGTAACCACTCATGTCCCAGCATCCCTAATTTGCCATCCTGTAATCACACAATTCCTTCTGCTTTGTGTCTTGCAGATAAGCAGTTTCTGAGGACTGAAGTACCTGCCCAGGGAACACCTGCTTGTGAGGTAGGAACTGATTTTCTAATGAGCCAGCAGTGGATGTTTAATTCAGCAGCAGAGGTTTGGTACAGCTGTGTGTGCACACCAGAACAGCTGGGCTGGGAGCTGCAGCCACCATGCAGAGACCTGAAATGAGACTTGTGCCACTGGGAACACGTCTGGAATGCACCCACCTTTCCATTCTGTTCTGTTCAGCCTTCCAAGTGCTGCTCTTTCTACATCCTTCCAGTTCCAGTCCTTCCAGGCAGAATCATGGGAAAGGTTGGGCTGGAAGGGACTTTCAGGATCATCCCATTCCCACCCCTGCCGTGGCAGGGACGCCTCCCACCATCCCAGGCTGCTCCAAACCTGATCCCAACCTGGCCCTGGGCACTGCCAGGGATCCAGGGACAGCCACAGCTGCTCTGGGAATTCCATCCCAGCCAGGAATTCCTTCCCAATATCCCAAAATCCAAGCAGTGGGAGCCATTCCCTGTGTCCTGTCCCTCCATCCCTTGTCCCCAGTCCCTCTCCAGCTCTCCTGGAGCCCCTTCAGGCCCTGCAAGGGGCTCTGAGCTCTCCCTGGAGCTTCTCCTCTCCAGGGGAACATTCCCAGCTCTCCCAGCCTGGCTCCAGAGCAGAGGGGCTCCATCCTTTCAGGTGTTTATTAAAGTTTCAGACGTTCCTGAAGTTCTGTTTGGGATTAGAGGGTTGGTGTGGAATTCCAGGCTTTTCCTTTCTGTGCCCTCGGACCTTCTTTCCTTGCCCTTTCTGCTTTAAAGGGCTCACATCTCGTTTAACTTGGTCACTCAAATCTTCTTTTTATCAGAGTAAGAGGACTACAAAAGATTAAAATGGGTAAACTAGGCTAAGAAAAACAAGTCTGATTTGATTTGTTAGGAATTGGATCATGCAAGCAGCGGATCATCCAAGTTTTTTATCCTAGCTGTCCTTTGTGGAAGGCACAACAAAGCTCCAGTTCACTGGAATCTGCCATCAGGTCTGCAGTTGTGATGTTGGAGGTGCAGGTGCTCACCTGATGTGGTTTGGGGAAGGAATTACAGTTTATTCTTGATTTTTGTGTGGATTGAGAGACCCAGGTGTCTCCTGCAGAGCAGTTTGGAATTGTTCTTAGATGCTGGTTGTGTCTTGAAGTCCTGAGAGGAATATCTGCTGTTTGCTTTGCTGTTTGATTCATCCTTTTCCTGTAAAAGAGGCCTGAGCTGTCAGTGGCAGTGCTGGTGCCCCTTGGCTGGGAGGAGTGCAGAGGAGTCACACTGATTTAACATCCCCATCTTTATCCACTGTGATCTCCTGGAACTGCCTGCAGGCAACAGGAGTCTCCTAAAACTCAGTTATGGGATAAAACTGTTCCTCAGGTGCCTTTTTTTTTTTTCTCAGTGTCCTTAAATGGCAGACACAGAGAGAACACAGTAGGTGCAGAGTCCTTTATTTTCAGTGGGGCTGATGCTCCTGGTCATGGTGGGACTGGAAGTGGCTCCTGTGTTGCTGTTCCTGGGGTGACTGGAAGCTGCTCCCTGTTCCTGGGGTGACTGGAAGCTGTTCCCTGCTCCTGAGATGGCTGCTCCCCCATTCCTGGGGTGACTGGAAGCTGCTCCCCTATTCCTGGGGTGACTGGAAGCTGCTCCCCTATTCCTGGGGTGACTGGAAGCTGCTCCCCATTCCTGGGGTGACTGGAAGCTGCTCCCTGCTCCTGGGGTGACTGGAAGCTGTTCCCCATTCCTGGGGTGACTGGAAGCTGCTCCCCTGTTCCTTGGGGTGACTGGAAGCTGCTCCCCATTCCTGAGGGGGCTGGAAGCTGCTCCCTGTTCCTGAGATGGCTGCTCCCCGTTCCTGGGGTGACTGGAAGCTGCTCCCCTATTCCTGGGGTGACTGGAAGCTGCTCCCCATTCCTGATGTGACTGGAAGCTGCTTCCTGTTCCTGGGGTGACTGGAAGCTGCTCCCCTATTCCTGGGGTGACTGCTCCCCTATTCCTGGGGTGACTGGAAGCTGCTCCCCCATTCCTGATGTGACTGGAAGCTGCTCCCCATTCCTGATGTGACTGGAAGCTGCTCCCCATTCCTGGGGTGACTGGAAGCTGCTCCCCATTCCTGGGGTGACTGGAAGCTGCTGCCATGGCTGTGTCCAGGCTCCCTGGGGCACTCCCAGCTCCTCCTGAGGCTGTGGCCGCCGGCCAAACCATCTTAAGTCGTTGTCTCAAAGGCACTTGAAGAGAAGCCAAGGAAGATGGCTTATCTCCCCTGGGTGGGATGGAGGGGGGCCGTGCCCAGGGTGCCCCACGTGCTCGTCCCCGTGGCCCCAGAGGGCCTGCAGAGGTCACAGCAGGTCGGGTGTCACCTCCTCCTCCGGGAGAAGCCGGACAGGGAAGGTGACAGAGGAACAGGAGAGCTTTGTGTTTTCCTTCCTGAACCTGCCAGTCTTGAGTGGATTTTATTTTTCCTCTTTTCTACCTCTCTTGGCTTGGCCCAGTGTGGTCTGAAGGTCTCCCAGGCTTCATGGAATATCTCCAGTTGGAAGAGACCCTTAGGGATCATCGAGTCCCAACTGCCTGCTCCTCATGGAACCACCTAAAACTGAAAATGCCATGACTGAGAATGTTCTCCAGGCACCCCCAGATCTCTGAGAAGCTGTGTTGTACCTCCCAGCTTGCCTAGGGAGGTGACTTTGCCATTAGGATTTTCCTCCTTGTGTTTCTCCCTTGGAAAACACAAGGATGTGTGTTTATCCTTGTGTTTCTCCTCTGGAACTCCAAACCCAGGAGTTCCAGGCACTCATGTACCTCTCCACATCGGTTGTTCCACGGTTTCAGGACATGCAAAGCAAGCAGGTGTTTCCCACAGACTGCATTGAGCAGCTAAAGTGCTTCCTGGAGTGATTTATCCGGGAATGTTTAATCCAGGCTCATTGAGGATGAATAAAGGCAGCTTCCTCCCCCACATCCTCTGGGCAGCTGGGAGAGCAGGAGGAAGGAGGAAGCCTCGCTGGGATTGGGGCACTGGCTGCTCCTGGTTGGTTTGAGCTGGCTGAGGAACATCTTGGGTTCTCTGCAAACCTGAACCTGTTCTCTCAGACAGTCCCTCAGTTCTTCCTGCTCATTCCATTGTGAGCTCTTCCAGCCAAGCCCAGGGGAATGTTTGCTCATTCCTCTTCAAATGCTGACACTGACCATGCTTGTGGCATCTTCCTTTGGCTCCATGTGTACAGGTGGGGAGAAAACACTTCTGGAAACGTTACCTGCTGGATAAAATTCTATTTTGCTGTGTAATGGCTCTAACTGGGAAGAAACACCCACAAACCCACATCTTCAGGGTCACTTTTATTGGGGGTAAGGGCCTGGCACAGGTGCCCAGAGCAGCTGGGGCTGCCCCTGGATCCCTGGCAGTGCCCAAGGCCAGGCTGGACAGGTTTTGGAGCACCCTGGGACAGTGGAAGATGTCCCTGCCATATCAGAGGTGGCTCTGGATGAGCTTCAAAGTCCCTCCAACCCAAACCATTCAGGGATTTGAGGATTCAGAGTCACTTTACCACTTAAGGTTTTACTTTCTTAAAGTGATGTGAGAAGCACCCTTAATTAAAATCAAAAAGTTTTGTTTGTTTTTCTACACTGAATAATTATTTATTTAATCTCCTTTTTTTCCTCTTTTGGAATTGCTGTGTCCAAGGGCACCTCAGTGTGGCACTGGACACTACAGCTGTACCTGTGATAAGAAAGTGAATTATTTTCTAAGGAAACCACCTCACCGTGCCTGATAACGCTGCAGGGACACCTGGAATGTCTTTTATTGCTCCTTCTTTCATCAAATCCCAGCTTTTGTTTTTTAACCCAAGCCTTGTTTTGCAGGCACCCTTGAATGTGTTTGTTATCAGGAGCACGGAAATGTAAATACAATGGTGGTTGGGCTGCAGCAGCTCCTCCCTTCCTCCCCCTGCCTTCCTGCGTGCACTTGGGAAGGGGGAGCTGCTCTTCTGCACTAATTCATTTCAGAAAGGACTGTTCTTCCCCCTGCTGCCACCCCATCAGATTTCAGAGACACAATTCTCTCCTTGAGACCAAGAACTAGCACAAGGCCTCGTGCTGTGGCTCCTCTTGGCATTTCCCCAAGCTCCTGCCTACCAGCACATCCCATTTTTTAACTAGATAAGCCACACAGGCACTGTTCTGCTTGAACTAAGACTGCATTCTCCTCCTTGCAACATTTCAGCTCATTTCCTAGAAGAAAAACTGAAAAAATCAGAGCCTTCAGCAGCCTGAGTCTCCCAGCCCAGGGTTTGCAGCTGTTTTGGAGAGCTGCTGCCCAAGTGAGGTTGTGCTGGGTGTAGTTGGCCACTGGGAGCTAATGTTGGTTGATCTCTCAGTCAGCAGGAATTTTGTCATTAAAAGCAGGTCAGGATAACAGAAAGGCTCCAATGCAGAATTTGTTCTTTGGCCTCACTCGGGAGGAATTGGGTTCAGCTGTTGGATGTGAGCAGTCACTTGGCCTCACTCTGTGCCTGTCATCTGCTTTTTTTACTGAGTCTGTCATGAACTTTGTATGGCAGGAACAATTTTCTAAGGGCAGAGTTGTTTCTCTTCAGTTACCAGGCCTTTCTTGCCCCAGCAAATGTCCCTGATGTGTCTGTACCACACTCTGGCTGCTCCTGTCACTGCCCAGGAGTTGAGTGATGCTCTCCTGGCCCTGGGCCAGCTGTGGGGCTGAAGCAGCTCAAGAAAAATCCCCGGGATCCTCTCTAAGAATAAACATCACGTGAGAGCAGGAGGGTCCCCCTGCTTGGGGAGAATTAACGTGTCCTGTTGGGAAGGAATAACAGCAGCAGCTTAAGGGCTGGGCTGCTTTCCCTCTGGCTGAAGGGATAAGCTGCAAGGCCACAGAGGGGCTGGCCTGGAGCTGCAGCTTTCCTTGCTGCAGAGCATAACAAGGTGCTTTCAGAGCCTGCTGGCTTCATAAATCAAGTCCCCTTTAGAAGGAGGTGGAAATGCTGTGGTCTGGTGGAGCTGCCTCCAGCT